TTTACCTACTCCATCTACCACCTACTACCACCTACTCTTCTATATATAGGAATCATTGTAACATTCAATAGATGAACAATTAAAAACAAGATATCAATCAATAATATATATATTTTTAACATGGTATCAGAGCAAGGTTAAGACCTTAGTATTTCTCGCTTCACCGGCGGGCGGCAACCTCGCCTTGGCCGCCCGCCGGACCTCAACCTAGTCCGCCAGAATCTTCTTCATCACCATCACAGCTTGACTACAGCTCCAGTCTACTGGAATATAGGGTGGGGTGGGGAGAGAGATGAATAATGCTTTTCTGTTAAAGCCCTCACTGGCTCAAGAAGACTCAAGGCCATAGCCATCAGTCCTCTGCATCTCCTCCAATGGTGGTTGGGTCTCCCACAACTTCCATCTCCAAGGGTGGTGGTGCTAGTGGACGCCCAAGGACATCGACCTCCACTTCACAACCTGGCAATAAACCCACCGCCCAACCTTCTTCTTTGTCTTCTCAGCAGCCCAAGAACTCCACATCAGTGCCAAGCCGGAAATCATCTCCGGTTGGTGTCAGCAGTGTTCCATCAATACTTAACAGGATCTTTGAACTTGTTTGATCTCATCTTAGGGGCCTTCATTTCTGAATATTTATCACCAGCAATTGGAGTATGGGCTTGTCGGGTTTCAGAAAGAGGAGTGGGAGTTCTCTGCTTTTGCACTTATTTTAAAATATTCTCCACCGCCCAGCTATTTCTCTTTTCTTTTAAAAAACAGCTCATCCTGTGTCTTCGTCTCCCCCTTCCTCCGCTGCGCTGCCTCCTAACAGTTGTGTGTTGCTCTGTGGTCATGGAGTCATGAAGGGTGATGCTGGCTTCCGTAAAGATGACAGACCTATGCTTGGCAGAAATGAGTTATTCAAAAATACTTTTAGAAAAGCTCTCCTATTTCCACTCTCAAACCCACCATTCCTTTTTTTAATCATCCACTACCTCACCTTTCTTTTTATTATTATACAGCACTGCCTTTTCTTGATCTCAGACCCATGATCATTATTATGCTTCCCACTATATTTATATATCTCTGTTTAATATACTATATTACCCAAAACAAAAAAAAAAAAGAAATGGATTGAAATAGTAAATAATAAAATAAGAAGAGAAAGTGGACTGTCGGTGTGGGGTTTGTATAATAATAATAAGAATAAGAAGAGAAAGTGAGGTGTGCTTGAGTGGAGGCAGACACTGACGTGATGGGAAAAACAAAAAGGTAGGGGATTGAAATAGTAAAATAAAAAGAAAGGAAAAGAGACAGTTTAAAGTGAGAAATCAATGCGCATCTGTGAGTGATGGCCAAGTGGGTGTGTGTTGGGTTCTGTGTGCGTGTGTCTATGGAGAGAGAGAAAAACAACACACATATGCATGTGCTCTCTCTTGCCAGGATGGATTCTCTTTTTGGTTGAAGGAGGAGATCAATAAAAAAATAATCAAGATGAGGAGAAGACACTGCTCAAGGTTGCTCTCATTATTGTGGCCTCTGGTAATTCTCATCTCTTGGATTGTATTTCATCGGAATTATCTGTCCCAAATCACCCATCAATTTGAGATGACGATGAGAATCCTCAGAACCCCGAAAAGGAACCAACACTTGAGACCCCATTTTAGCAAGCCGCTGCACAAGATAGCGCCCAAGAAACCCAGTAGCTCCAAAAAACTGCAGAAATGATGCCACTGACAGAGGATCTTCCACCGGTGCCCTTGCTAACAAGATGTCCCACACCTTTGGTGGTAAGGGCAGATGCGTACCGCGGATGATCAGCACCATAGTAATGATGAGAGAGAGGGTAGATGGATTTGAGATAAGAAATCACAGGTGAGGGCTTCAAAGATTGGTGCCCTAATTGCCTCGTAATGGCCTGCATCCTTCTCAGTCAGAGTAGAGAGAGAGACAGAGAGTTCTCTTTCCTTCCTCTGTTCTCTCTACCAATCTTCGCACATGTGACCTGAGGCATTTGAAGTACATCCAAAGCCACATTGGCTCCTCCGGCTGTGGTCGCCGTGTGAGGACCATCCCATAAACCCATCTGGGTGTCGAGACCGAGAAACTCAGGGGTTCGAGTGGTGTGAAGCGAGAGAGGCGGTGGTGATTTTTGTTGATGAGTTGGAAGGAAACTGAAGGTATGTGTAAACAAATTCCAGCGGGCAGCGAAGGCAAGGTTGCCGGCCGGCTGCCCGCCGGTGAGAAAACAAAATATGGGCCTAAATCTTATGGCTCTGATACCATGTAAAAAATATATGTATTATTGATTGATTTGTTGATTGATAGATGTTTGTTCTGTTACAATGGATTGATTATATAGATGTAGGTTAGGTGGTGGTAGGTGAGGAGTAGGTGAGTGTAGTAGGTGAGTGTGTGGTAGGTGATGGTAAGTGTGTGGTAGGTGATGGTAAGTTCTAACAGAAAGCATCAAGCTATGCATTGACGAAATCCATTGAGGGATGACATTATGCTACAAACGAGCTACGGATTGAGACGTTGCCTTACTCGAGCAACACGTTGGTGCAACGCTAAGGTGCGCATTGGCCTTAGGTAGAATCTAACACACGTGTTGGCACGAGGCCTATGTCATGGGTAAGTTATTGACCCTTGGTGTCTTGTGGGCTTTGCATGACCATGTGGCTATCGATATGCATCGATTGAGACATGCTTGACCTTGTGACACTTCGAGATGCTGTCAAAGACCCAACGATAGTGGCATGTATATAATATGATAGTGGTGTTGGTGGTAGATAGTGGCATGTATATAATATGATAGTGGTGTTGGTGGTAGATAGTGGCATGTATATAATATGATAGTGGTGTTGGTGGTAGATAGTGGCATGTATATAATATGATAGTGGTGTTGGTGGTAGATAGTGGCATGTATATAATATGATAGTGGTGTTGGTGGTAGATAGTGGCATGTATATAATATGATAGTGGTGTTGGTGGTAGATAGTGGCATGTATATAATATGATAGTGGTGTTGGTGGTAGATAGTGGCATGTATATAATATGATAGTGGTGTTGGTGGTAGATAGTGGCATGTATATAATATGATAGTGGTGTTGGTGGTAGATAGTGGCATGTATATAATATGATAGTGGTGTTGGTGGTAGATAGTGGCATGTATATAATATGATAGTGGTGTTGGTGGTAGATAGTGGCATGTATATAATATGATAGTGGTGTTGGTGGTAGATAGTGGCATGTATATAATATGATAGTGGTGTTGGTGGTAGATAGTGGCATGTATATAATATGATAGTGGTGTTGGTGGTAGATAGTGGCATGTATATAATATGATAGTGGTGTTGGTGGTAGATAGTGGCATGTATATAATATGATAGTGGTGTTGGTGGTAGATAGTGGCATGTATATAATATGATAGTGGTGTTGGTGGTAGATAGTGGCATGTATATAATATGATAGTGGTGTTGGTGGTAGATAGTGGCATGTATATAATATGATAGTGGTGTTGGTGGTAGATAGTGGCATGTATATAATATGATAGTGGTGTTGGTGGTAGATAGTGGCATGTATATAATATGATAGTGGTGTTGGTGGTAGATAGTGGCATGTATATAATATGATAGTGGTGTTGGTGGTAGATAGTGGCATGTATATAATATGATAGTGGTGTTGGTGGTAGATAGTGGCATGTATATAATATGATAGTGGTGTTGGTGGTAGATAGTGGCATGTATATAATATGATAGTGGTGTTGGTGAAGGATAGTGGCATGTATAGAATATGATTGTGGTGTTGGTGGTAGATAGTGGCATGTATATAATATGATAGTGGTGTTGGTGAAGGATAGTGGCATGTATAGAATATGATTGTGGTGTTGGTGGTAGATAGTGGCATGTATATAATATGATAGTGGTGTTGGTGAAGGATAGTGGCATGTATAGAATATGATTGTGGTGTTGGTGGTAGATAGTGGCATGTATATAATATGATAGTGGTAATATATAATATGTAAGTGGCATATAATGGGTTATAATGATGTTTGTAATATCTCCTATATAAGGAGTGTCATTTGGTCTTGTAAGATAAGAAGTTTTGAATATAACAGAAATATATTCCTTCTTCCCCATATTTTCGGAGTTCTTCTTCCTCATATTTTCTCAGTTAAAGGTTAACAGCTGGTCTTTTCTTTTCTTTTCTTTTTTTTTTTGGCTTGGGCTTGGGCTTAATGGGTTAAGGAAGTTAGATAGAGTGGGCTGAGCTTCTTTTAGTGTTGCTGGGCTGGGTTACTCTTATTTGGTTGGAGTAGGGTAAAGGGTGTTAATTTACCAATTTTCCCAAAAGCCTAAATTGTTAGGAAATAGACCCAACAATGTATATCAAGCTATCTAACAACCTCCCTCACGTGCCCATCTTGCACGTGGAGAGACAAATAGAGAACCAAACAGAAGGAGAAGCAAACAACCAATAGAGAGGAAGAAATGGAACGGGGACATAATACCAAATGCTAACGGAGAGACTTGAACCTAAGACCTATCTTAACTAGAGCTTTGGTATCATGTTAAGTAACCAATTTTCCCAAAAGCCTAAGCTGTTAGGAAATGGACTCAACAATATATATCAAGCTATCTAACAAAGGGTGGCTTGGGTTTGCTGATTTGGTTGGAATTCTGGAGTGTATTTTAGGTTTGGGTTGGGGTATGGACCAAAATACTGGGTTAGGGTTTACAGTTACACAAAATGGGTTGGGTCAAAGTACCTGAAAACAAACCTTTATCTCTTCGGCGTTACAACAATAATTATAACTCCATTACCCTCATTAATGTCTTATTTATTTATTCTTTGTTAGTTCGTTTAATTGTGTGATTGTTCATTCAAAACATATTGTTTCATAGCATGTATTGCTGCTAGGGCTGGGCCTGTTTACTTGATAGATCTACATTATTTATAGTCTTGGGTCATACTTTGTTATTATGGGCTTGTCTGCTTAATCAGTATGATGCTTTTCTGTGTTCTACTTGGGCACAAATTGTGGCAATGGTTACCTTTCTTTTGGTAAATTTCTTTTTGATCAATGCAGCTGATTCTGAAAATGAATCTACCGAATCTGATGATGAGTTTCAGATCTGTGAAATTTGCAATTCCGAAGAGGTATTTGTTTTCTCTTCCCTCTATATTTCTCTTTTCATTGACATTATTAAATGGTTTGAGTGCCTATCTTTCAATGTAGGAAAGAAAAAAATTGCTCCAATGCTCCTGTTGTGGTCAGCGCGTACATCCTGCATGTTTAGTCCCACCTATGGTAGATGCAGTAGCTGGCGATTGGTCTTGTCATTCATGCAAGATAAAAACTGATGAATATATCCAAGCAAATCATGTCTACTTAGCAGAACTGTTGAAGAGGTTTTCATCTCTCTCTCTCTGCATTTACCATTTTCTATTGCTCAAGGTGGTCCTTTACCAGTAGCTGGGACCTTGATGTTAGTATGACAATTCAAGATTGAATCTATCAATCTAAGAAACTTGTTAGGGAGTTGTTAGTGTTGCTAACAATTCAGATTTTATGCAAAGTAGTTATTCTTAATTCACCATTGGAGTTATAGGATATTGAATATATTAGAAGTTAACTGTTTGGCTGTTTAGTTTTCAAAACAACGTGAACTTAGTGGCTCCTTTATACATTGTAAAAAATAAGAAGGGCAACCAGGAGAGTTGCTGTCACTTTCATACCATGAAGCATGGATATGGATATGGATACGGAAATAGGACCCAGTGATTTCAAAAAAATGGGAACATGGACACGGCAGGGACACAACAATTTTTTTTAAAAATTATTTATATATATTTGCTATGTAGATTAATATTATGTTACCAAACAATCAAATTTAATAAAAATTAACATTAATTCAATATATATATAATATAAAAACCACTAAATTTAAGCAAATTAATAGATTATCCATATTTGGACACGTGTGTCCCCGGCATGTCCCTCCCCTGCAAAAAAAATAAAATAAAATTTACAATGGCGTGTCCTTGCCGTGTCCCCTTTAAAAAAATAATAAAATTAAAGGGACATGCCATTTGGCGTGTCCTATACGTGTCCCCGTGTCCAACACTACTACGACACCTATTTTGAAGTGTCCGTGCTTCATACATTTCCATCCACACTAAACTTGTGAAGGTCTCCCGAGGAAGGTGGAAATTAGTTTTTCCATATCAATCTCTTTTTCTCCTTTTGTTAAGGGATATTTTGTGGGGACAGAGGGTGCATGGTATACTTAAAAAAAAGGTTGCATTGTATACATTTCTCTCATTTACATAGCTAGTGTCCCTTCCTCTGCTGCTCACGATGAATGTGTGATGCACAACAGCCACAATTTGCAGATTAGCTGTAGAAATTACTTCTGTCCACCAACTGCACTTTTTCTTATTGTTACATGATATATGTAGATTTAGTAGTGTTGTGCTATAACATTTTGAGAAGGAAAATGCTACATATAATCCTATTTTTTATCTCATTTTTTCACTCCAAGACACAAGTGACTGGGTCTCATATGCATTTATGAATGTGGGCCCCATTATTTTGTGTCTAGGAGTGAGAAAATGATTATTTTGTGTCTAGGAGTGAGAAAAGGAGATAAGACATGGGATTATGTATAACATTGCTCTTTTGAAAATTTTAGCCAATTATGTAGGTAACTATGTAAATTTCCTCAAGATCCACTTAACCCCAAAGAAATACATTTTAATATTTAATTTAAATGTTTGAATGTTATAGAGAAATGGCAGTAAAGTAAATTGATAATGGCATAAGGAGCAAAAAAGGCAAGGACAAAGCATTATTGGTAGCTGAAGTGGCTCCAGAAGAGATCCAAAAAAAAAAAAGAATAACAAATGGAAGTGGCTTTTTTCTAAATTTAATTAAATGACTGTATGACCTTTTAGCTGAATGATCATTTCCCTTGTGGTTTATCTTTTCTTATGTGGTGAAATGTATTATTTTTAATTTTCAGCTGTTTGGCATGCAGTGTTGGTGGCATTTTTCCCCCCTCAATGAACATATTGTAGAAATTTTAATATGATTAATATAAACATGATGATAGGTATGAAGGAGCTATGGAGCGCAAATCGAAAATTCTTGAGATAATTCGTAATTTGGATCTTCCGAACAACCCATTGGATGACATTATTGATCAGGTAACTGCAGAAGGATCTGGTTTCTCTCTCTCTCTCTCTCTCCCCCCTGGGCACTAGTGTCCATTTTGTGGTAAAGCTTTCACATTGAATATATATTTCTGCTTAGGCTCTTTCTTATAATGACTTGTAATGTTTGTGCAGCTTGGAGGGCCTGATAAAGTTGCAGAAATTACAGGGAGGCGACGCATGCTCGTTAGGACCTCTGATGGAAAAGGTGTCACTTATCAGGCACGGAACACGTGAGTTTAGGCATTTTTTTTCCACTTAAATAACACTTGATTTATTTTGTGGTGGCTAAATTAAAATTTCTTCTGCTTCTTTAGCAAGGAAGTAACCATGGAAATGGTCAATATGCATGAGAAACAACTCTTCATGGATGATAAAAAGCTGGTCGCTATCATTTCTGAAGCTGGATCTGCTGGCGTTTCTTTGCAAGCGGATAGAAGAGCAGTAAATCAGGTATAATTTGATTGCTTCATTGTATGAAGTCATCATGGTATTTAAAGTTGAATGCTTCTGTCCACTAATGATTTAAGCGAAGAGAGAACTCTTAAATACAATATGGTACACAGACTTCTCTTCAAGTTGGCTTGTTTGTTCATTCTTGCCAATTGACTTTTTGTTGTTTTAATGCCAGAGAAGAAGAGTTCATTTAACTTTAGAATTACCTTGGAGTGCAGACCGAGCCATTCAACAATTTGGAAGAACTCATCGGTCAAATCAAGCTTCTGCACCTGAGTATAGGTTGGCTTAGCATTTCTGGTTTTGTCATCTTGTCATTTGTTCTAATTTGATTGCATTTTTTGGATAAGAGCAGTTATCATAATTCAGCTTAATTAAACTCAACAAGATTGTCCCAATTAATTGGGTTTAGCTAGTGCGCTTATCGCCTATATTTCACCTTATCTAAGGCTATATGTGACTATATCCTTGGTTGATTCTTGGATGATCGTGTTCTCTTTCTCTTCTCTGACCACTTGTCGATCTCAGCATCTTCATTACAGTGACATGAATTTTTGGTTTGTTTAACTGTCCAGCACTTCACGAGTTTTATATACATTCCCTTGACTTAGCAAGAATTTTACAATCACACAACATTTGACATGCACACCTCCATTTAAATTCTCTTGCTTAATTTTTAATGCTTTGATGCCTCCTTTTTTGTTGATTTGGTTAATTCTTAGATAATCAAACCACAGCAAAACCCCCTTTCTGTGTATTCGAATTTAAACCAAAACAATTAGGATGCACTTTTTGTTTTATTTTATTGCAATGCTTAGTGTTCTCTTTTGTTATTATGCTCGCTTGATGATGATAGTCATGGGTCTTGCTTCTTTGGATAAGTCAGTAAAGAGCTAGTCCAGAATTATAGGTTTTATATAAGAACTTGGAATCAAGGTTTGAAAGCGGTTTGCGGTCGCCGTAACTGGGCAGGTGATGCGGTTGCAGTTGGTGGGGTATAAAGGCATAGTGTAACGGGGTTGGGTAACGAAACGTAAATTTTTTTTTTTCACACATTTGAAAAAAATTTTACAATACGGATATTTTTTCTAGATATTTTTATGTTAAAATTATTTTTGCTTTTTTTTTTTTAAGCAGTTAATATATGTATATTTTTTTAAATCCACTATAAATAAACTGAGTTTTTTACATTTTATTTTAATAATTAATGACTTTATATTATACAAAAAATCAATTACTAACTATTATATATAAGATAAACAATGACAAAAGTAAGAGAATAAATAAGAACCTAAATATATATATACATATACATATTTTAATCAAGCCAAATGGATAATGACTACACTTATTATTATTATTATTATTTTTAAACAATATATAGATAGACACACACAAACAAAATGGTTTAGTGATAGCAGCTGAATAGAATAGCATAGGTCTTACTGTTTCAACAAATCGATAACATGTTCTACATCTTCTCTCTTCTCTCTCTCTATCTCTTGCTCCTTCATTTTCTCTTTTTATCTTCCCTCTTCTCTCTATCTCTCTTATCTCATTTTCAGCTTTTTTTTGTGTGTTTTTTCGAAAGAAACAATTTGGAACTGTTACGTAACGGTGCGAAATAGGCCGTTACGGCACCGTTACAACCGCTATGGTAGCCGCTATGGCCGACACACCTGTGAATCTCAATCACACTGCAAAAGCGGCCGTAACGGGTGGCGGTAACCGCCAAAATCGTTACGTAACGACGTTACGTAACGGTTGCAGCCGCTTTTTAAAACCTTGCTTGGAATACAGTAACATTAATAGGTAAAGCAATGGAATTAATAGATACTATTAGTATAGCATGTTTGCAAGAAACAAATTGGATAGGTGAGAAAGCAAAGGAAATAGAAAATATTGTGGGTATATAATTTACTGTACCAGAAAAAATGGATGGAGAATGGTCTAGGAATATTAGTGGCTAAACACTTCAAAGATAAGTAACTGTTATGAGAAAAAAGAGAGAATAATGCTAAGTGAACTTGTGGCGGGATGAAATATAATTGATGTGATTAATGCATATGCACTCCAAGTAAGATTGGTTGAACATGTTAAAGGATAATTGTGGGATCAAACAGATGAATTAATGCATGAGATACCAGGAGAGAAGATAATTAAAGGTAGAGATTGCAATGTTTATGTAGGAAAAGATATGAGAGGATGCATGATGGATATGGTTTCGGTGGTCGAAACAAGGCCAAAGAGGACATTTTAAATTTTGTAATAGCTTTTGATCTTATAGTAACATACACTTCCTTTAAAAAGACAGAGGATCTTCTAAACAAGGGTTATACACGAGGATATCATCAAAATACACCACTATACAATGGCCAGTGAATGGTTTTTTAACACTTGGGTCATTTATGACTTGCATGAATGTGTTTGTGGCATTAGACATGACAAAGGGTATTACCAACAATTCATAAGCCCTTCTCGTTTAAAGACATCTTCCATTCATCTCTAGGATGGATTAGGATTTGGTGATAACCACTGTTTAAGTCTATCTTTGAGAAGGCTTTTGAACCCACCAGCATATTCAACATGTTGTCAAGTCGAGGAATTGGAAAGCAATACTTCACAATAAAATTGTTTATGGCCCTCTACCGTCAATGCACATGAGTGAAGACCATCCCTCTAGGTGTTAGTAACGTTGACACAACACAAGGGCTCATGCTCTCTCCCTCACTTAACCCTTCTCTAACAACTCCTTCAATTAGACGGTGTAGTCCTTTATGTACCTTGGGACTCATTCTTTACACTGCCTTATTTGCTAGAATAGAGCTGGAAATCAAATCAATACAATGTTGAATGTCTCGCATTGGAGGCAATTCTAGTGGAAGCTCTTTAGGAAAGGCATTGGCATATTGCTTCATCAATAGTTCCACAACCTTCGGTATTGGATTTCATGGAATTTCCTCCTCTACCAAGGCATTAATCAGTCTACGCTAATGGAATGGTTATGAATGACCTCTTGGTTGTCCCTCATGGAAATGGATTGAATGACGAAATGAAGACGATAGCTGACCATAGAACTGGGATGGGGCTCTCTTAGGTTGCATGTTGCCAATACTCTCTTTCCATTGTGACTTCTCTTCAGCATCAGTTGGAATGCTGGGAATGGTTACCATTTTCTTCTGTTGTTTTGGCGAAATGAATGGTGTTACTAATTATAAGCTAAGGGTGGCATAAGTTGATACATGGAGATACTATAAAGTTCCATATTTATCATAGATGTAATGGAACAACTCTTTGCTCTCTTAATAAGTTACTCATGTTGGTATATTTTCTCTTTTATGCTTAATAAGTTAATCTTGTTGGTGTCTATTCTCTTGTATTCTTTGCAGGTTACTCTTTACTAATCTTGGAGGTGAACGCCGATTTGCATCCATTGTTGCCAAGAGATTGGAAACTCTTGGAGCCTTAACACAAGGAGACCGTAGGTTAGTTGTATATTGTTTTTGGTGTAAAAAAGCAAGCTCAGTGGTAATACTAATTGTTGCGAAACCATTCCAACATCGATCTTAATGCTGTTTCCAGGGCTGGACCCACTCTGAGTGCTTATAATTATGACAGTGCTTATGGAAAACGGGCCCTAATGGTGATGTATAGAGGAATCATGGAGCAGGTTTTTGATACCTTTTTTTTTTCCCTGATAGTTTTTGTACTTGCCCCGTACTTCGAAGTGACACCCTGGCCTCATTTGTGCATTTGGAAGAAGGGAAGGGGGTTGTGAAATTTGTTGAAATTAATTTTAGGTTTTTCAGGATATGTTGCCAGTTCTACCTCCAGGTTGTTCATACGAGAAACCAGAAACTCTTCAAGATTTTATTGTCAAGGGAAAAGCTGCTCTTGTTTCTGTGGGAGTAGTTAGAGACACAATTCTTGGTAATCTTTATGGAATTACTGTCACATTGAAGTTCAGTAAAATAAAGGCGGTAGTAGTTTTATGTTTATTTCGTTAAAGGTGTTAGTATTAAAACAAAAGGTGTTAATTGTTAATTACACTTTTTGTATAGGGATGTTCCCTTCCTTTGACGTCTTTCTAATGATATTGTTCTTATAAAAAGAAGAAGGTGTTTGTAGTTTCGTTGTTTGATTTATTTATTTATTTATTTTATCTTCTTGACTTTAAAACGAATATTAAAATGTAGTTATCATCTTCCATTCGTCTTACAGTTCCTAATTCAAATATATCTAAAACACCTATTCATTTTTTGTCATCTAAGTGTTTCAGCCATCATTTGATAATGTTTTGAGGATAACTTCGCACTTGACTCAACAAGCCATCTTCCCAAATACTTGAGATTGCCCACATGGATCTATTTTCTCTAGTCCATTTTTTGTAAAGCTACATATAGGGAAATCATGATTTGTCTGAAGAGATTCAACTCACATCCTTTCCTGCTTACCTCTTACCATTTTAGCACACTCAACTTGAAATGATTGCATACGACAAAAATATCTCAGTTGACTTCACTTTTTATTCAATAGTGCCCCTTCTAGCTTCTCATGAATACAATTAGTTCTCATTTTTATTTTCTAGCAACATATGGGAAATGCTACTGTTGGAGAGGAGGGATGGAGGAAAATGCTCAGGATCAAATGGATTAGGCGTCTTTGGGCAAGTTTTATGCGGTGAGAGTCAAACATACAATAACAAGGGTTTTTTTGGGTTAATAGTAATTCTCATTGAAATATTGTCTGGTTTAATGCTCATACCAATGTACTTCTCAACACATTTTTTGAATATTCTGCTCTTTATTGGCCTACTCTGTCTCATTCATCATGGACAATATTCTCTTCAATCTTTGTGCCACATCTTGAAGAAATCTTCCACTTCATCCATCTTGCTCTATGACATTGTCCTTACTCTCCACTCATGGGTTATTGATCCAGGATGTTGAAATGTCACTCTTAAGGTGTAAACTGGTCATTGAGTTTCAATGTTCTCTACTGTCAATCATTGTGTTGGGCTAGTCCATACGGAGTTCTGCTTTGGCTTTAATTGGGCCCCCCGCTAGTGGACAGTGGGATTGGCCCCCATGGATTAGTCGAGGTGCGGGTAAACTGGCCCGGACACCCTGAGATATAAAATAAAAAAAGTTTCAATGTTCTCATGTATTTTTAGTTTTGCTCATATTACACTAAATAATATTCTATCTTTCAGTCTAATTTAGCCTAAACTCCCTAGATTCTGAAGTATTTTCTAACAAACTTATCCTCACTTTGGTTTTGTCAATCAAACTTATGGCATCAATGAACGGTATGTATATCATGAGAAATTCTCTGGAATATGCCTAGTAAGTTCATGAATAGCTAGTGCAATTTGAGGATGACTTCCAGTTTGGTATTATTTGCTGCAGGTAATGGGAAGGACTCTGGAAAGTTTTCTGGCCGTATAGTTGATTCAGACATGCATGATGTTGGACGTTTCCTTAATCGGCTCCTGGGACTGCCACCTGAAATCCAAAATAGGTATGCAGTTTTCTTGTTCTTGTTCTTGTTCTTGGGCTTGTTCTTGTTTTTATTATTTATTTTTTTCCCTTTCTCTGGTTGAAATTTGATGTGCTTGATCGATTAGATTAGCTTATAATAATAAAAATGCCACTGAAACACAGGCTCTTCGAGTTATTTGTCAGCATCCTTGAACTTCTCATTCAAAATGCACGTAGTGAAGGCCATTTTGACTCTGGCATTGTTGATATGAAAGCTAACATTATTGAACTACAAGGGACTCCAAAGGTTAAGCTTCTCATGGAGCTCTTATTAGTTCCATTTTAAACATATATATATTAATTTCAATCTTCGTGCAGACCGTTCATGTTGATCATATGTCCGGGGCGTCCACTGTGCTATTTACTTTCACAATGGATCGTGGGATCACATGGGAGGTATACTCTATATTCCCCCTCAAACAAAAAATAACAAGACAAAAGTGGATAAGTTGTCTTTTTCATTTTCATTTTTGATAACCAGACAAAATTTGTGACTTAATATTTATGTGCAGTATGCATCTACCTTGCTTGATGAGAAGCAAAAGGATGGGCTTGGTTCACCTAATGATGGATTTTATGAATCTAAGAGGGAATGGCTAGGAAGGCGACACTTTCTTTTGGCATTTGAAGGGTATAAAAGTTGAATCTTGTAGCAAGCTTTTTTCCCAAAATTATTATTTAAATCTTGCAAGCAAAGCGCTATCTAATCATCAACTTAACGAAGAAAGTTATGCCAACTATTTTGTACCTTGCTTATGTTATGACTTTTCTTTTTTTGTTTTCTGGTTGCAAATGTTATGACTTCACCTTGCACTATTTACTGAATTTCAAATTATTTTGTTTCATACATATTAATGTATCCACACCTTATTCGAATACTTTGTAGTAAATATACAATTAAAATCAACAGAAGTAGTGAGGTGTAAATCTTTGGGATTGTTGGAGGGAACATGAATTAATCTTTTTTGAGCTTCTTCTGATGATGGCGGTTGATTTAAATAAAATGCAATCTAAGCTCAGAAATCGAGAGAGAGAGAGAGAGAGAGAGAGAGAGAGAGACCCTCCCTAGGGCTAAAAAGCCTGACCAATTAGAGCATAATGTCTATATTCTTCAATCAAAAACCTCCTAAAATTGAGATTACATCACCTATTTATAGATCAAGTCCACTAACAACTACAACTAATAGGACACTTAACCCAACTAATGAGACACTGATACGAAGCCTTGAGTAGAACTCACCCTTAAAAACTGCCTTGCAAGGGGAGGGTGCCCAGAAGGCTTATATGCACATGGTCATTATCTATGTTAACCAATTTGGGATTGTAAATACATCACACTGTACAGCTGATGTCTATGGCCCACTCTATTGACACTGATCCAGTGGTAGCCCTTTCCCTTTTGGTGGCTTCACTCAACTATCAGTATTTGATACCTTTTTTAGGTGTTCGATCCCATACTCGACGTGGTGGCTAACTGTAATACCAAATGATATGAACCCTTGGGTAGAATTCACCCTTGAAAACCAACTACCGAGGGGACGATGCCCAAGAAGCTTATATGCACGTGGTCATTGCCTATGTTAACCAATGTGGGAACGTAACAAACACTTAAGAGAAAAAACTAATGACACATACATAAGAGCCATTTTGTTTTTAAAGATGTTTATTCTACTACATCAAGTATATACAAAAAACAAAGGAGAAATTGCTCATATTCCTGGCCACTCTGATTGTGAGAAGGTAATCATATTGAACAAAGAGCCAACCCAATTTCTTTGAAATAGAGGGGTTTACAAGAGCAACCTCTGAAAGATGACTTTGCAACTATCTATTATCTTAAGAAAATCTCAAATCTTCATATCTCCTAGATCACCTAATTTTTCTCTTTATGGCTATGGAGTCCCGAGAGAGTAGGAACAATCGAGATGGTGTTATATAATGAGAAACTGAGTGACCAAAGCATGCATATAGATAGTGAACTAGTCATTTTCTTAGTTGAATTTATTATTTCATAATTTAAATATTTCAGTGTAAAGGTTTACTTTAAAGTATTTGATTACTTGGTTATAGGATCAAGTTGAATTAAACTAAACTGACTGAAAAGTGTGGGTAAATGGGTAGATGGTGAGCACTTCAATGGCTTAAGATTACTAGCGGTGAAGAAGAAGACTAAGGCAACCTTAGATATAGAAAGGGTGGTAGTGAGAGAACTTAACCACTCAAGTAGTAGGGTTTTTGTGTGCAATATAGGCGAGAGCTCTTATCTGGCTGTGTGTTATGATGTGACTATGATTGATTGTGTTGTTGGTGGTTGCATTCATGATACCATTCTATAGACTTCAGTAGTATTGGAGTTCCAGCAACCCATGGACAAGCGGTGAGCTCAACTTAACAGGATGGTGATGTTAGCGATATTGTTGTCCTATGATTCAGGGCCTTAGGAGTTACAGAGGTAGGTATGATATCTCCGAGAGTGTATCATGTATGCAGCATGCATGAGTATAAGGTCAACATCTCCTCTCTCTAAGATTGGTCGAGGTGGAGTTGTCATCGCATGAGAGATAGCCAAGCAACCTTGATGAACCCATGATCTTAGCCTCCAATCCACAATTCTCCAATGATCTCAAGTGGAGATGCCTAGGCGTTGCTCCCAGCCTAGGCAACCAAGTGAACATAGGTGAGCCAAGGGCTCAAATATGCTGCCATTGAGTGAGAGTGATTTATAATAGTCATCCCGTGTGTGCCCTATTGGAATGAGGTATAAAGGACCATGGTGAGCGAGGGCTCTAGGTTACCCATGGTGCTGCCGAGCAAGCTTGGTTCCGTTGTGCAACCCATGTCGAGCTTTTCATACTTTGACCCGTTTGCCTTGGTGCTCTTGCCAACTAAGGCGCTAGCCGCGATAGTGAGTTGAGTATCCACACTTGGTGGTATGTATGCCCTCTATTAGGTTAGGTGTACAATCTCGATCAATCTTGTGAGGACGTCATGGTGCCTCGAACGTCTACCACGGGGGTATCTTAATTAAAAATTCAAATTCACAATATCAGACACTTTTATTTATCAAAAAATATTAGACACTTTTATTTATCAAAAAATATCAGACACTTAATGTATTAGTTGAATAAATACATTTAAGTGTATGATTAGTTGTACAACATATCACAACCAACTGATGACCTGATGATGTAGAATACATACATTAAGTGTATGATTAGGTGGCCTATTAGTTGTAGCTTAGTTTTAGTCTATAAATAGGTGATGTAATACCATTGTGCTTAGTTTGTGATAAAAGAATATACATTGTGATTGGAATATAGCTTGGTTTCTCTCTCTATACCTTGGGGGTTTTATTTCTAATTGGGGCATTTGTCTTCTCTCTCTCTACAAATTTTCAAACATAAACATAATCATATTTCCTCCTCTCTTCACAAAGCCAACAAAACCGTATTTAAAATCAAAGATTGTTCCACGAGCACCTCCATTGTGTCATATTTTTCTAAACTGTTCGTTGAGCTCCATTATCATATTCACACACACACGTGCGCACATAGAGACAGAGAGGGAGGGAGGAGTTGATAGTGGTTGGACTTGAGAGTAGGCAAGAGGAAGTGCTGAAATTAGATGGGAGATAATTCTCTGACAATTGGGAGATTCCTCTCTCTATGGCTAATCAAACTTAGAGAGAGAAGGCAAAGGTTTGGCCAAAGGAGGATGAGGACGTAGAGGTGATGGGGTAGAAATAGTGGTAGTGACTTATTGATGGAGGTGGTGATGATTGTTTCTCCATTGAAGCTTGGTGGTGGTGGGATTTGACTGTATAGTATGTAAAATGAGTAAATCCATTACATGAGTATGGGTAAATGTGTAAAATCGCATGCTCTTTAAACAGTCGTGAACGAGCTTTGACAAGGGGGTGTAAAGTGTTATTTCAGAAACCTGAGGAGGTGTCCATATATTTATTTAGGGGTGTTTGTGTAATTTACCCAAAATTTATTTGAAAATGTGATGTATGGATATGGTGCGCACAACATGAAGGAAAGTGTTCTTTTTGTTTAGTTCATACACACTGTTGAGTTTTTCCTTTCTTACTGTTGGTTTGTGCTGCTGTTTAGTTTTATCTAATTTGACTGTTATTTTGCTTCCCTTGTGTAACTTTATGTGTTTATAACATTTATTTGAATGTTAATATCCCTTGAATGAATGAAATCTCCTGCGTGACTTACTATTTTTATTGTTTCTTCTGTGAATTGTGCTCCAGTTCTGCTTCTGGAATGTATAAGATATTCCGCCCTGCTGTAGGGGAGGCAGTGAGGTATCAAAATTTATGGTTATTAGGATTCATTGTGTTTTGTAGTGTTAATTAGTACTTTATTATTATTTATGTTGTCATTATGGTTACTAAGTTCTGTAGTATTATTACCTTCTCCATTTTTATTCTTTTTTTCACTCAATCTCCAGGGAGATGTCTCTAGCAGAACTAAAAAACAAGTACAGAAAAATTTCATCACTAGAGAAAGCTCATAGTGGTTGGGAAGATGAATATGAAGTTTCATCTAAGCAGGTAAGTAGGATCCTTCCTGAACTTATTCATGCAAGGAAGTCACTTCATATGAACTAATGTAGGGCTTAATTTTTGGTCAAAATATTTTGTAGCATTAGTACACAACATATTTACTAATGAATAATTAATGTTATTAAATGACCAGGAAAAGTAGCAATTCTACAACACATCCTTCAATATATAATGATTAATTCAGTGTTTTGTCATGTAATTCATTATGGCCGCTATGAATAGTATAATGCCTATCTTCACCAAGTCCCATTGTCAAAAATCAATTTCTGTTTCCATCTTTAATATCCATTCCTTGTCCATCTTCTGTTCTTTCTCTAGCATTGTTTGGTAACTGTAAAGCTAAATTATATTGTGTTTTACTTTGAAGCGAGTTTGAGTATGGTAAGTTTTATAGCTTTGTGGTGGAAAATTATAGCTGGTTTTTCTTGCTGCAATAATTTTTCTGATTCTGGACAATGGTTTACGATTTAAAAAGGGATTCTTAGCTTGCCTCGGCTCTGTGCATGTCGGCTTTGGTTATTTATTTTTTTTTTTTGGCCTTGGGAAATATGTTTTTCCCCGACAAATTAAAGAAACAGTCCATCTGTCATTACCAAATATGTGGCTGTGTGTATTGGAGCTGCACTGAACAAGTGTATACTTGTGGTCTAATGGTACAATGTCAAGAAAATTTGGTCAAATGGTATCCGGCATCGGTATGTGGTCAAAAATTGGAAATGTTTGAGAGACTCCCACAATTTGAGACACAATGATATGGCATGATAGATGTCGACTTTTGATTTGTCACACACTTAACCATATAGGGCCAAACTCCCTTGGCATATCATTGTGGATGAATTTAGGGGTCCAAATTGTGGGTCTTTATCATTTCTAAGTCGAAATTATTAAGTTTTTTATTGATGGAGTTGGTGTTGTCCTTTGCCTGTGACATATAGGTCCATCACAGTTGTGCAAAAGCTGAAGTACACAAAAGTTGAGATGAAAGGCTTGGTTTTAAGTTTATTACACTTTTTGCTAATTTTTTTTATTTATTTCAAGATTCTGATATGCCATCTGGAACTGTCTTGAAATTCTTACATATTCTATTACCAGCTAAACTTCAGAACTGGATATGCTTCATGCCGAAGCTGCTGCAAGAATGTGTCCTAAATGCCTTATTTATTTATTTATTTTGATTTGATTACAAACTGTTCCTCTAGATTAGTTTGTTTGTTTTTTTTGTTTTTTTTTGTTTATAAAAAAGAAAAAGAAAAAAATTCCTCTTGCTTTATTGAGGGTGTTATTGCTGATGCTACTTTAGCTTACATCTTTTCATAGCTCACGGTTATCTCGCCATGCAGTGCATGCACGGCCCCAATTGTAAGCTTAGCAACTTCTGTACAGTTGGCAGAAGGCTACAGGAAGTAAATGTTCTGGGCGGTCTCATTCTTCCTGTTTGGGGAATTATTGAGAAGGCCCTTGCTAAGCAGGTAACTTGATCTCCTATGCTGCTTTGTTTGTTTGTGATGTTGCTAGAATGTTGTGGTTCAATTTAACCCTTACTCTATTGCTATTGGTAGTCTATAATCTATATATTATGACAGAAGTTCCTTTTGTGGATGCAATATATGCTAGGCTCTTGTTCCTGTAATTTTATATTCACCAAAAGGTGATCATTTGATATTTTTAATCTGTGTAAAACCACCAAGTGTTGCTGCTTAAAATCTTTCATTACTTTTAACTAGGTGTTGGAACAAAAACATCAGTAATAACTTGACCTCGTTATTCTGGATGAGTTTGATGTTACCATATTCCTTTTTTTTGGTTGATAAATTGATGTTGCTGCCATATTCTTTGCTATATACACTTCATGGGTTACTTCTGTTCCCATTTTTAGTTTTGTTTACTTGGTGAAAGTTAGGAAAAAATTCCACCTCTTGGCGCAGTTGACATCGTAGTGGGTTGATGGAAAAAAGCTGACACCACCTGGCTCATTAAATGTGCTGAAAATTTAGTTCTCCCTTTCTATGCTCTGTACCATGTCATTTATTTAATGAATGATATTTGCTTCAGGCACGACAAAGCCATAAACGACTTCGAGTTGTGCGTATAGAGACTACCACTGACAATCAGAGAATTGTTGGGCTTCTTATCCCAAATGCAGCTGTTGAATCCGTTCTTCAAGGTTCGATTCTTCTTCTTCTCCTTCTTCTCCTTCTTCTTCTTCTTCTTCTCCTTCTTCTCTCTCTCTCCTGCATTATGTTGTCAGTATTCTTTCCTTGTCATAGCGGAAATGTAGTTGATAATTGCTGAGGGGGAAAAAAAGGCATCTCTTTGCATTGTTTGCAGACAATTATTTGATCAGATGAATGGTGTCCACTAGATCAGAAATTGTTCCACGTGACGTGATATAAAATTGTGCTCCACAAAAATCTTATTAGATTGTGATAATGGCATGGTTGCAACAAGCTTTTGTGGAGTCATATATGAAATATTTTGTCTTGTCATGAATTTTGCTCTTCATCCTTTATGAGTTGATATTACCCGTGAATAATGGTGCAGATTTAGCCTGGGTTCAGGATATTGATGATTGAGATGAAATGACAGAGGCCATTTTTGCATTTTTGCCAAGTGATGACCAGTAGGTACCCATATCTGAGCAGGTTGCAACGCTGTCCTTGCCATGATGCAAACAACATTTGGAAAAAGGAAAACAGCTCAACCAGGCATGGGGAAAAGAAAAAGAAAAAGAAATCGAATATTTATTTTCTGCATCATGAAGTGGAAATTACTGTGCAGTCTCACAAAGGTCAACATGTAATTTGTCTTTGGATCCATTATTTTTGGCTTATATATTTTTGTGTTGTAATTATGAGCATTGTCACGCAAGGCAAATAATAATCCTATAGCTGCATTGGATGTTGTTCACCATGAACAAACTTTGTATCACATTTAAGTTGATGAAAATACTTGAATCACAATCACAATCACAATCACAAAATTATGTGAAACATATCTGAAATGTAAGAATAGTTTTTGGTTCAGAATTTGTTGTTCATATGCTGAACAGAAAGCAAGAAATTCAATTTACCCACTATGAGAATTATTATTCAGCCAAAGTTTTGTAGGTCTGGCAGCGACTATTCAGAATACTCTTTCTTTTGTTGTTGGAGTTTGTTCATGATGACCTTCATATAAACTTCTTTACCTTAATGTTTTATTTAGTTTATCGAAATGAGATTCATCCCTTAAGCTCTTGTATGGAATGTTCATTTCTTTACAGTGGTGAATAATGATTCTATTTGTAATGTATTTTTTTATTATTTTTTAAGTCAACTAAACATGAAAATGAATATTATGATAGAATCATCACTCCATTTTATTGAACCAAACAATACCCAGTTTATTAGAATGGAATGTGGATTCCTTGGGTTTTCTTATAGAATGATCAGGGAAAGATAAATTCTATTTGTAATGAATTTGTCATTATTTTTTTAACCTAAGTAAATATGATACTGGATATTTAGATTAAATGATTATTTTATTGCAAATTATTACAGCGGACCAAACACTTCCTAAGAGTGGCAAATGGGGAAGAGCCGGAATGCATCCTTAGAATTCATGTTTTACTCTTGGAACAAATTCAATGTGAACGAGAGATCCATTCCAGCTCAATTTACAACATCCACGGTACAATAAAGTTCTTAGCATCCCATATACACATCATAATCAGGAATTATTTGTAAAGCCTTTCTTGTAAATAAACCAAAAAATACAAGAAGAATTGAGAAATGAATTTTCTTACCAACAACTCGTTTTAGTCAATAGGTAGGTGAGACATTTCCATATTGTCAAATCAAGGGCCCGATCCTCCTACATATAAGGAGGTCATCTCCATGCAAATGTTATTAGAAGATCATTTTGCGCTCACTTCTTGCACCCCAAAGTCCAAGAAATGGCGGGTGTGATCAGCCAGTAACTTATGAGCTTACCCAAGGACTCAAGATTATTAATCTGATCAAGACTAATTACTATATCAAAATACATTATTTGCAGAAACGTGTCACAGTTATGCAATTCAAGGACAAATGTTTGTTAACCCAAAATACATTTTAATGTCCATTGATCATCCAACACGTATCTAAGCTTGTGATAGGTACAAGATAATCAATATAACAAAGCATAAGAAAACCTGCTCCAAGTATAGCACTAGTCAAAACATGAATCAAGTGAATGCGTCCAGTTTATGCCTCATAATCTGAAATGGTTATTAACAACAGGGTAAGCTAAAATCCAATGGGTAATATTATACCAAGGCATGAATAATAAAGCAAGTTTTATGGACATCTAAGTTTATAAATCATAGTTTTACAGATCTCATTTGCATTTCATAAGGCACATAGTAGAGTCTTTCAATGAAAGTATAAATCTAACCATTTGTCATAAGATTAACATACTTTTAGTATGCCTATCACAACGGAACAAGGAGACGTGTTGATCTAGACTTCCCAAAAAGAGCTACAAAGTAGCAACAAGAGCCACGAGGTGGCAACGAAAGAGACATCTCGAATAACAAGGGCTTGAAGGTGTGGTTCATAGGGGATTCCACAAGTGGCTCCCACTCAAGTGTAGTACTTAGTTCTGTACAACATTTTACTCCCACGGAGGCTAGTATTCTTCTTATCTCCTAGCCGCTGGGAGCAACCGTGGATGGCATATAAAACACTCGCATAACAAGATCAAGTAGTAAAAGAAGTTCATATGTATTCCAATCATGGCATTTATTATAGTAAGACTTCTGACAGAGTTTACATTTCATAAATCAAGTTCTTACAGTTCATAAATTAAGGTCATGGTTGCATAAGGTACCCGATTACTCATCTCAATTTCAAACTAAAAATCTCTACAAGTTATCTTCTAAAAATCCTACATCATACAAGGGTACAGAAAATTAATACCAAATAATGTCAAGTATGATTCCAATGCATCATGTGGTTCCTAAACAATGACCCACTATCTTAGCTATAAGTCGCTAAATGTTCCAAATGCAATGGGGGAAGACAAATTCGGCAAAGGCAAACAAAATGAGTCAAAACAAAAAAGGGTGCCAATACTTGCTGGTTCACTTGAGTGGACTCTGGACCGCTCAAGCCAGGAATTCACACTCCAGCATCTGTTCTCAATCAATCAGACTGCTCGAACTGTCAAATGATGTAAACAGTAGACAGTCGGCTTTTGGTCCAATCTTGTCCAAACACCATGTTAAGACATCGATCAAGGTTCCAAACATGTACAAAGGGGTCTCGAATTGATTTAAAGGTCTCTACCATGGAAGATTCTCAAAATCATGCTTTCTAGGTCAACATGCAAGGATCCCCAAATACTAGGGCCAAGACCCACCAATTTCTACACAATGATGCAAACCTCTATTTCACAAGAATAGAAGTGTCAAGGTGGGATTAAAATATTTTGAAGCTTCTCTCTCTCTAATGAGAGACTTGTATCTCTCACCTTTTACATCAGATTTTGTGCGAGCGGGACACGTCCCTCTCTTGCTTACTTTAATTAATCTGTTAAAATCCACCTACTCTCCACCTACTTCACCCACTTAAACCTACTCCACTAAACCTAACCCACTACACCACTACCACCTCACCTACTCCACTAAACCTAACCCACTACACCACTACCACCTCCACTTCACCTACTCCTTACCTACTACACACTCACCCTCTTCTATATATAGGAATCATGAATCATTGTAATACATATCAATACATGAATCAATAATACAATTCTTTATTTCTCTTTATACATTAAATTTCTACATAATCTCATGCTGACCTTAATTTAATTTGTACCATACTCATTATTCATTAATTTATATTCTAGTGTCTTACTTGTCTAGTGCCAATTCTTTACTCAATACTGAATCTAATAATTTTCTTTAGGTAACCAATACCCTAACCAAGAGGGTTCACATGAATGACATAGTCTCTAGAATTAACTTATTGTATTTGAACATCCATTATAATATCATAGAAAATTATATGATGCCAAGAAATTAGGAAATTCTAAAATATGTACTATTACACTCGCCACCTCTTCCTGCAAGCTTCGAAGATATCTCTCCACAGTCATCCTCTCTCTCCAAAATTGCCTCAACTCCCACCTGCTCCACCTGTAGTGGTCCCTTGCCACCTTAATGCCTATCATCTTACCAGACGATCCCATTTCGGCCACCTCATCACCGACAGTCCGTAAGACAATCCCATTTTGGCCACCTCAACACCGACAGTCCATATTTGTTATTCACCTAAAGTAATTTTATATTTAAATTATTAATTTTATTAACTCAATTATTGTTGTGGAGCTGATATGGTTTCATGGTGAACGGATTGTTATAATCAATGTTCTCATTTGAGTATTAGCTAACACCACTGTGGTTCAACTATAAAAGTTTTCATTTGAACACTAGCCAAGTTTTACGACAGCTGCCCTAGCCCCCAAAGTTTTCATTTGAATATTTGCTATTATTGTCAAGATCTGCAGCTGCACATCTAGGCTCATGCCCATGGTTTTTCTAGCATAAATCGCACCTCCTACTTAGATGCATGCGTGCGCAGAGAGAGGGAGAGAGATGGCACTAATTGAACTGAGATTAACTCCAATAATCATAATCTGAATTTAAAAAACGAATGGATCATTAATCTTGACTACAACTGTAACAGTTTATCACATATAATAACAGAAGGTTAAGTTCATCTTGAGAAGAGATCCATAATAACATCTGAAATCAGTACCATCTTGCAATTTACAATTGCAGATGAAAGTTGTTTGCCAACTGTCAAAAACAACATACAGGGTTCAATAAAGTTATTCTGTCCTGAAAATGAGACAAGACTTATTCATTACTAGCAGATGAAAAGGAGGCAGTTGCAGCAAACAACAAGAACAGTAAAGATAAGAAGTGTAACATCAATTTGTATAGTACCTTTCCCATCATGGCCTGGAGATGAATGCATCAGAGTTTCTTGAGTGAGGCTTTCAAATGTGGTTGAAGACTAGTAAGACTAGTTGCCATTTCAACCACATAAGACAGTTCTCCATTGACCAACTTAAAAACTCGAGATATCTCTCTCACCTGCCAAAGAAAAAGGAAGAGTTCACCCTCAAAGAAGCTGTAATCACAACTGAAGTAGATTGCCCAACTATTTTTTAGTTCAGATTTATTTTAATTCTTAATTTTTTTCTTTTAAAATGAGATTGTTAAAAGAAGCATGGAAGGATAAGTGTTAAGAAGTTATACTTCATGATTTGACAATTATGTCGTAAGCAAAATCACCTAAAACTATTGAACAATCTTCCCAGTAAGAAAACTAGCTCTCGTATACAAACCAAACCAAACCAAACCAAGCCAAGCCTTAAGTCCCATCAAATGGGATCGGCTACATGAATCCTTCTTCTCCACGCGGCCCTATCAAAAGCCATTTCGTTAGTCAAATTAAGTATATCCATATCTCTATTGACAACGCTAACCAACGTTAATCTAGACCTACCCCATCCCCTAACACTTTCATCTACCTTCACAGCATTGCTTCTCTTCACTACTGCCTCTGTTGGTCTCCGTTGAATATAACTAAACCATCTCAAACGATTCTTTCTCAACTTATCTTTTATCGGTGCTACTCCTACCCATTCCCAAATACAGTCATTCCTAATCCTGTCTTGTCTAGTCTTGCCACACATCCACCTTAGCATTCTTATCTCAGCCACACTCATCTTATCTATATATTGTTTCTTGGTTGCCCAAAATTCCGTCCCATACAATATCGTTGGTCTAATAGCCGTTCTATAGAACTTATCTTTAAGTCTAGTGGGTGTTCGTTTATCGCACAGTATCCCAGACGAACTTCTCCACTTACACCGTCCCGCCTTAATCCTATGGGCCACATCCACATCAATCTCCCCCGCTGTTGTAGTAATCGACCCTAAATAACGAAAATGTTCACCCTTAGGCAGTTCTTGGTTCTCAATCTTCACTTCTCCTCTGCTGTCATTGTTACTGTTACTAAATTTACACTCCATGTACTCTGTCTTAGTTCTGCTTATCCGGAATCCTTTAGATTTAAGAACTTTTCTCCAAATCTCCAACTTTGTATGGTACTTTCTCTAGTCTCATCTACTAGCACTATATCGTCTGCAAAAAGCATACACCATGTCACGTCATGCTGAATATTTCCCGTCAACTCATCCATAACTAAAGTAAAAAAATAAAGACTAAAAGTAGATCCTTGGTGTAACCTTACAGTGATAAGAAATTCATTTCTCTCTCCAGCAGGCGATCTAATAGTGGTCACCACCCCTTCATACATGTCCCTAATCACATCAACGTAACCTTTTGTCACCCCTTTCTTCGCTAACACCCACCATATTATATCTCGGGACACTCTATCATATCCTTTCTCAAGGTCAATAAATATCATATGAATGTCTCTTTTCTTTTCTCTATACTTTTCTATTACTCTCCTCAAAAGATATATCGTTTCCATTGTTGACCTGCCAGGCATAAACTCAAATTGATTTTCTGACACCGCTATTATATCTCGCAATTGGCGTTCTACCATCCTCTCTCAAACTTTCATTAAATGACACATTAGCTTGATTCCTTTATAGTTGTTGCAATTCTAAACATCTCCTTTATTCTTATAGATTGACACTAAAATACTCTTCCTCCAATTAACTGGCAAGTTCCTAGGCAACAAAACTTTGCTAAACAACCTAGTCAACCAAACAATCCCTTTTTTACCCAAACACTTCCAAGCTTCAATAGGAATATCATCTGGTCCTAAAGCCATATTTGATTTCATCTTCTTAAGTGCAATTTCTACTTCAAAACTCCTAATCCTATGATAGAACTTATAGTCTTGGTTTATCGTATTACTGGCTATTTCTTCCCCTATTGTCGTATCTTCATGTTCCTCATTTAATAGTTTCTCAAAATAGTTTTTCCATTTTTCCTTAATCTCTTCATCCCTCACCAATACCTTAGAATCCTCACTCTTGATGCACTTAACTTGATTAAAGGCGATCTAATAGTGGTCACCACCCCTTCATACATGTCCCTAATCACATCAACGTAACCTTTTGTCACCCCTTTCTTTGCTAACACCCACCATATTATATCTCGGGCCACTCTATTATACCCTTTCTCAAGGTCAATAAATACCATATGAATGTCTCTTTTCTTTTCTCTATACTTTTCTATTACTCTCCTCAAAAGATAGATCATTTTCATTGTTGACCTGCCAGGCATAAACTCAAATTGATTCTCTGACACCGCTATTATATCTCGCAATCGGCGTTCTACCATCCTCTCTCAAACTTTCATTAAATGACACATTAGCTTGATTCCTCTATAGTTGTTGCAATTCTAAACATCTCCTTTATTCTTATAGATTGACACTAAAATACTCTTCCTCCAATTAACTGGCAAGTTCCTAGGCAACAAAACTTTGCTAAACAACCTAGTCAACCAAACAATCCCTTTTTTACCCAAACACTTCCAAGCTTCAATAGGAATATCATCTGGTCCTAAAGCCATATTTGATTTCATCTTCTTAAGTGCAATTTCTACTTCAAAACTCCTAATCCTATGATAGAACTTATAGTCTTGGTTTATCGTATTACTGGCTATTTCTTCCCCTATTGTCGTATCTTCATGTTCCTCATTTAATAGTTTCTCAAAATAGTTTTTCCATTTTTCCTTAATCTCTTCATCCCTCACCAATACCTTAGAATCCTCACTCTTGATGCACTTAACTTGATTAAAATCTCTTATTTTTTCCTCCCGTATCTTAGCAAGTTTGTATACCCTTTTCTCTCCCTCCTTACCATCTAGTCTAGTGTATAGGTCATCATAAGCTTTCAAATAAACAAAATAGCAAAATCACAAATAACAGCTCATGTCAAGCAAATAACAAAACCACCAAATACTCCAGCTACTAAAACTTAATATAATGACATAAAAATCTGTTCAACGGCATATTAAATTCAAATAAACACAAATAAAGACTTGAAATTATTCTAAAACTTCATTCACTCCATGCAAAGACAGCCCTGAGATTTATGAGGCTTAAGGCGAATTATGAAAATGGGACCATCTTGTATATATATTTTTTAATAAAATGTTAGAATTTCCCATCTTTACCTTCACCTACTCCACTACACACTCCACTTCACCTACCTCCACTTCACCACACACTCCACTTCACCTAACCCACTATCACCTCCACTACACCTACTACCACATTTTCTTCTATATATAGATTGTATAGGAATTGTAATTAATCAATCTTGTAATACAGAATCAAGATATCAATCAATAATACAATTCTCTATTTCTCTTTATACATTAAAAATTCTACAAAAATTTATGCATAAAATGATAAGTATCAATAAGTTTTTTATTTAAGTTTACTTGCACATATAATCATTAAAATTATAAACTAAAATTTACTTTCATTTGTTAAAATAGGAAGAAATCATTACAAATACTCAAAACTATTAAAAACTGGGCCAAAACAACACTTGTTTTGTTTGTATATGTTTTAATTTCAATTGGGTCAAACCACACTTGTAAAGAAATTTTTCTTCATATTTTTTTAGTCCTTTAGACTGGCCCTAAAACAACAAAAATAAATTGGGCCTTTTTGAATTTGTAATATATTATAAAACACTACTAAATTTGGAAGCCCTATTTTGGGCCAATTTTTGGAGGCCTAAGGCATAGGCCTCAATGGCCTTAGTCCAAAGCCGGCTCTCCATGATATCATAAACCCTATCAAGCCAATATCTGGCGCAAAATTTATAACTATAATCTCGTCTCATTATATACCGTCAGCCAACCTACGACTCAACAAGTCTTATTCTTAATTGCTTTTGAGTTAAAATACTAACTACAGAACAATTTACCACGAGTTTCACAGCTATCAACCATTCTTAGGAACAGTTGAAGCTCTGAGTGAAACTCCCCAACCATTAATGTAATCGCTAATGTTGTGTTTGGTTAATTGATTTGGGTAGGGATTTGGAAATGGAAAGGGAAAGGAAAAGGAAAAGGAAAAGGAAAAGGAAAAATGATGGTGAAATGTGAATGAAATATAATTACATTTCACTTACGTTTCCCACACCTTTTTTATTTCCCTTTCCAAATCCGTATCCAAATCCATGAACCAAACACAGCCTAAATGCCAGAAAAAGTACCTCCACTTTTGTTAGAGCCAAGTTGTATTCTCTGTTACTTCCTCTAAAACAGTATATAAAATCTAAGGTATATCCAAGACAAGTAGTTTTAATAAAGCTTACCAATTTGACAAGGAAGTGGAGCTACTACAGCTTCCCCAGTGACAGGTCCCGAGATCTGGCTTTTTAATGCTCAAAATTAGACTCTCTCTCTCTCTCTCTCTCTCTCTCTCTCTCTCGATATGCATAACATTAGATGAATGTGCAAGAAGTAGCTATTTCGCTATACGTATCAAATAAATGTAGCACACAGAGATGAATCAGCTCAACACCTGAGCCTGCTAAATATATTAAGCCTTAAACTATGCATATTAAAACTACTAGCATAATCTTATCAAAATATGCATGAAGTTGCCAATGGAATCCATCCAAAGTAGCGATGAGCCCATGAGAGATCTCATCGGATTAATACAAAATTCTAATTAACTCTTCTTTTGTTTTGTTTTTTTTTTTTTTTTTTACAAATATTTTTCGAACCACTATGAAACTAAAAAAAATGGATGGCTTTAATGAATTGTTGTAACCAACAATCCCGAGAGATTAAAATTACCTTAGAAGCATTGGCCACAAGTTCACTATAAAGCTTCACCACTTTGTCTTGTGCATTATATGTTCCTTTCTGAAAAAGGGAATATACATACATTAGTATTTAGTTTAGTAGTGTGAGTTGAGTGATGTGAGAAAATATGAGAGAAAAGGAATCAGTGTAGAGTATTATTATTCCATTAAACAGAACATGAAGCTTTTTAGCCATTTTAATTTGATTCCTATGGTGGTCAGTTTTTATGATTATTAAGATATTATTGACATGTTAATAATATATCTCATTGGCATGGAGGGAGGTATTAAAAAATAATAAAATAGTAAATATGCGCATTGAATTGAGGATTGTTGAATGGAAATGAAATGGCTAAAACAAAGTAAAAGTAATCAATCAAAGAATTAGAGAAGAGGCAGTAGTAGTAATTTAAAACCCAAAACCCTAAACCATAAAAGAGAAAGAGAAAGAGAAAGGGAAAGGGTACCTGAAGTTCAAGAAGACCAGTGCTTTGAGAGATAACAACTTCAAGGGTGCCGTCAGGTTTGGGACGCCAGTAACCGGCCTCAGCATGCATAGGCTCTCCCGAGTTTAGTTTCCAAGTCTTTTGAGAATATGCGATCACAGGCTAACCAACCCACCCGGAAAGAAAGAAAGAAAGAAAATGCAAAATCAGAGTATAAGATAATAATCATCAAAGAAAAGAAGAGTTGCATTATTAATTAATTTGTGGTGTGGGAAGAGAAAAGTGCGTGTACCTACCTTGTTGCCGGGATGAGAAAAGTGGAGTTCTTCGCCGTATTGAAAGGTGGAGATGGTTGGAAAACCACCCTCGCCTTGCCCTCTCCATGTCCCCAGCAAGTATGATAACGGTACCACTCCCGGATGTACTCCTACTCCTGCCGACCTCTCACTGCCACCGCCATCCATCCCCCAATTTTGACTATTCTCTCTCTCCTTCTCTCTCTCTCTCTCCCCTTCTCTCTCTATCCTCGGGCCGCCCTCCCTTTTTTTCGTTGGTACTAGGTGGCACGTTTTTGTAAATTTTTCTCAGCTTGACAATATTAAAAGTGGTGCTTTGACAGTGGACGGAGTCTACGGCTTCTGTTTTGTTTTTTTTTTATTTATTTATTTAAAGTGTTTGTTAAGTTATTAGTTGTGCTTTAAAGTACCACTTTTAATGAGATGTATCATTATTCTTTTTCTTTTTTATTAAATTTTTGATAAATTAAACTCGCATCGGTTTGAGTTTAATACATAATATTTCCTGATATTTGAAAAATTACACTTATCCTCTCTTATTATAATTATTTAGATGAAATGAAAGTATTGAATTCATACACTTTTTTTTTTTTTAACTTTGCCTTACTTTCTTTATTTTTCTTTTTTTCGTTTTTTCCTTTCCTTTCCTTTGCTTTTTTTTTTTAATGTAATTTTTTTTATTTTTCTATTAAAAATTGTTACTTTTTACACAAGCAGAGGGTTTGTGAAATAAGACTATTAACACAAGAGTAAGAATGTAATTTTTCAAACGTCAAGGGGTGGAATGTAATTGGACCAAATCTTAGGGAGTGTGAGTGTAATTTACCCTTAAAATTTTCTTTTTTATTAAAAACAAAAATTATATATATAGTTTTAAGATTTGTTTAAAATACAAATTACCTCGTATGATTTAAAAAAATTATAAATATCTCGTTATTAGAATTTTTTATTTAACAAAATCAACTAAAAAAATAAAGCTGTTCTCTTTATACAGTGATAAAATTACCTTAATTATTAATTAAAATATATTTATAACATCATTAAAAATTATTAAATGATTTATTGATAAGAGCAACTATTTGTTATGAAATTAGAAATTTTGAGAGATAATATGTAATTTTAAGAGGTGTATTTATAATTTATCCTTATTTAAATTAGGATTAATTTTATTTTTATCACTTAAATTATCATCGTTATTTTTTCATTTAGGCTTCGTTTGGGAACTCTCCCGTTTAGTCAAAAAGTCAAAAAGTTATTAAATTAGCCAAAAAGTCAACAACCTATACCAAAAAGTCAAAGATTCTCTTTTCTCTCTACTTTTTGCACATCTTTTTATAAAAAGTCAAAAAGTCATCCCAAACATACTAGTTTTTTTTAACTCATATTTTAGTCAAATAATCAAAAAATTACTAAATTAGCCTGTTCTCAAACAAGGCCTTAATCTCTAAATTATTAATTTCGTTTATCTAATTCTTTAACTTTTTAATTTCAATTCATATGATTCAATTGAAAATAATCCGTCTATACCTAATTTAATGGCAACCGTACAATCAAACTCTCAATTTTTTTTTATTCATTATTTTGAAATGAGGGATGAAGGAGAGTATGATTATTTGATTATAGAACGCAAGTTTTCCAGATTATAAAATTACTCTTTTATTTATTAAGAATTATTTTGGATATGACTTGTTTTTTAAAAAATTTGCTTAGAGTTTTGTTACATTCTCTCATTTTATCACCTCTAATTGCACCTTTAATGAGGTGACAAACAAGTTTAAAAGGGGAGAGAAGACTTGGAAAAAAGTTGATTGGTTGGTATTGCTTATCACGATATTAGAGGTCCAATTTTGGAGGAGATGAAATGAGAAATGGAGTATTTTTCTTTCACTTATTACGAAAAAAAGGAAAAAGAAAAGTAAGGAAGTGATATGATAAAAATAAGCTAATAAATCAATAAGGAGCTTATTTGGAGTGTTTCTAATGCTTTATTTGGTTAGGAGATTTGTGAAGGGATTTGGATAGGAAAAAAGAAAAGGTAGGTGAAATGCGAATAAAATATATCTATATTTCATCTAGTTTCACACACATTTTCCTTTTTTATTTCTAAATTTCCCAACTAAATACAGCATAAAGGAGGCCTAAATTAAGCTTTAAAGTTGTATTTAGTTAGAGAATTTGATGAGAGAAATGGAAAGGAAAAAAGAAATACAATCTCATTTTTTGTTTGGTTATAATAAAAAACATAAGGGAAGAACAAAGTGAGAAGGAAATGCATCCCTACCTTCTTTTTTTTTTTCTTTTTTTTTTTTTTAAGATTCATTTAGAATTTTTATTTTATATATATATATATATATATATATTCCAACTTAAATAAATATAACTTGAATTTGGAATCTTAACAACTTTTTATCATTTTTTTCCTATTTTCTCATCAAATCCTCCAAACAAACAGTTTAAGCCAAGTTTAGCAACACCAAAATAATCCATCTTTTTATCTTTTTTCATCACATCACCTCTCTACTTTTCTGCACATCTTTTCGTAAAAAGATAAAAAATACACTTATTTAGGTTATCCCAAACAGCGTGACTATCTACAATTTGATTAACGTGACTATAAAAAATGTTTCTCTCTCTCTCTCTCCCTTTCTCTCTCTATCCTCGGGCCGCCCTCCCTTTTTTTCGTTGGTACTAGGTGGCACGTTTTTGTAAATTTTTCTTTTTTATTAAATTTTTGATAAATTAGAATTATGAGTTTAATACATAATATTTTCTCATATTTAAAAAATTACACTTATTCTTTCTTATTATAATTATTTAGATGAGATGAAAATATTGAATTTATATATATATATTTTTTTTACTTTGTTTTACTTTCTTTATTTTTCTTTTTTTCGCTTTTTCCTTTGCTTTGCTTTATTCTTTTTTTAATGTAATTTCTTCTATTTTTCTATTAAAAATTGTTATATTTTATATAAGCAGAGAGTTTGTGAAATAAGATTATTAACACAAGGGTAACAATGTAATTTTCCAAACGTCAAGGGGTAAAATGTAATGGGACCAAATCTCAGGGAGTGTGAGTGTAATTTACCCTTAAATTTTTCTTTTTTATTAAAAACAAAAATTATAAATATAGTTTTGAGATTTATTTAAAATACAAATTACCTCGTATGATTTAAAAAATTATAAATATCTCGTTATTAGAATTTTTTATTTAACAAAATTAACTAAAAAAATAAAGTTGTTCTCCTTATACAATGATAAAATTACCTTAATTATTAATTAAAATATATTTATAATATCATTAAAAATTATTAAATGATTTATTGATAAGAGCGACTATTTGTTATGAAATTAGAAATTTTGAGAGATAACATGTAATTTTAAGAGGTGTATTTATAATTTATCCTTATTTAAATTAGGATTAATTTTATTTTTATCGCTTAAATTATCATCGTTATTTTTTTCATTTAATCTCTAAATTATTAATTTCGTTTATCTAATTCTTTAACTTTTTAATTTCAATTCATATGATTCAATTGAAAATAATCCGTCTATAGAAACCTAATTTAATGGTAACCGTACAATCAAACTCTCAATTTTTTTTTATTCATTATTTTGAAATGAGGGATGAAGAAGAGTATGATTCTTTGATTATAGAACGCAAGTTTTCCAGATTATAAAATTACTCTTTTATTTATTAAGAATTATTTTGGACATGACTTGTTTTTTAAAAAATTTGCTTAGAGTTTTGTCACATTCTCTCATTTGGAAAATGTCTCGTAGCTCAAATTTTGTGGTTCAAAAGTGGCTCAAATGGTCAAAACGACGTCGTTTTAGCCATTTTTATGTTGTTCTGTACTCAAAACGATGTCGTTTTGGCCATTTGAGCCACTTTTGAGCCACAAAATTTGAGTTACGTAGCATTGTCGCTCTCATTTTACCACCTCCAATTACACCTTTAATGAGGTGGCAAACAAGTTTAAAATGGGAGAGAAGACTTTGAAAAAAGTTGATTGGTTGGTATTGTTTATCACGATATTAGAGGTCCAATTTTGGAGGAGATGAAATGAGAAATGGAGTATTTTTCTTTTACTTATTATGAAAAAAGGAAAACGAAAAGTAAGGAAGTGATGTGATGTGATGTGATGCGATAAAAATAAGCTAATAAATCAATAAGGAGCTTATTTGGAGTGTTTTTAATGCTTTATTTGGTTAGGAGATTTGTGAAGGGATTTGGATAGGAAAAAAGAAAAGGTAGGTGAAATGCGAATAAAATATATCTATATTTCATCTAGTTTCACACACATTTTCCTTTTTTATTTCTAAATTTCCCAACTAAATACAGCATAAAGGAGGCCTAAATTAAGCTTTAAAGTTGTATTTAGTTAGAGAATTTGATGAGAGAAATGGAAAGGAAAAAAGAAATACAATCTCATTTTTTGTTTGGTTATAATAAAAAACATAAGGGAAGAACAAAGTGAGAAGGAAATGCATCCCTACCTTCTTTTTTTTTTTCTTTTTTTTTTTTTTAAGATTCATTTAGAAATTTTTTTTTTTATATATATATATTTTCCAACTTAACTAAATATAACTTGAATTTGGAATCTTAACAACTCTTTATCATTTTTTTCCTATTTTCTCATCAAATCCTCCAAACAAACAGTTAAAGCCAAGTTTGGCAACACCAAAATAATCCATCTTTTTATCTTTTTATCTTTTTTCCATCACATCACCTTTCTACTTTTCTGCACATCTTTTCGTAAAAAGATAAAAAGTACACTTATTTAGATCATTCCAAACAACGTGACTATCTACAATTCGATTAGCGTGACTATAAAAAATGTTAGAAATCTAGAATATGCTTAGTTTAGGATTTGGAAATAAATTTAAAAATGAAAAGGCATGTAAAGTTCAAGTTTATGTTTTACCAATTTTTTTTATTTATTTTTATTTTTTGGTTTAAATCTCTTTTCAAATTCATAAATCAAATAATTTACTAGATAAAACTTGAATTGAATTAGATTAGACACATCTCATAATTCAATTTATAATGATATAATTTAATAAGTGTCTAACTTTTAATTTGTCAAAAAATTAATTATGTGAAATTTATCACCTTTGTCACATGGATGCGTAAATGTGGATATGTATATGATATATGTATGTGAATGTGAATCAATCATGATTGCAATTATGTGTGAAATCAGGAGAGAGAGAGAGAGATGTGATATATAAGGCATACAACGACGTGGAAGACACGAAAGAAAGAATAGTAAGGAACCGGTCACCGCTCGCTATCTCTCTTACTCTCTCCCACATTTAGGAAGACGGATGGATCGCGGTTTATTAATCCTTGTTTAATGGTGGTCTAAACCAAATACAATTGGGGGCTCCTCTCTCTCTCTCTCTCTCTCTCTCTCCCCACCCCACCCCACCCCACCCACCCTTTGCACCACCTCCAACATTTTCCATACATTAACACGCACGCACGCACGCACATATGATTTTCCGCATCCTTCTGTTCTGTTATTCTCTCTTGTATTACTTCCCACAAATTTCTCTCATCAAATATCTTACAAACAAACAACAATAACAATAACAACAATACTACTAACAACAATAACAACAACAACAACAACAACAACAATCCTCTCCTTCTCCTTCTCCTTCTGTTCTGGTTATGGGTTCATTCTCATTCTCATTCTCATATTCAATACCAATATGGAATTTTCCTTTTTAATCCCGACATTCCTCTCCTTCTCATTCTGAATTCATTCATCTTCTTTCTACCCAAACAACAACAACAACAACAACAACAATAACAACAGCAACATTGGGTGGGTCGATGAATGGTTGGGTTGGGTGAGGGATGAATCAATTTAAATGAATGAACCAATCAAACAGACAGACAGACAGACATGGCAGGGTTAACACCATTGCCGTCAGACCTGAATTTGATTGATTCACACACCCCTTGCTGGTTTGTCTCTTTCCATCTCCTATACTCCTCCACTTTTTCTTCCTTCTTCTTTCTTCTTTCTTATTTCTCTATTTCTATTCTTTTTTTTTTAATTTCCAAACGTTTTCTGATTAGCTTCTTACCAGATTTCATATTGCCTCCTTTTCTTTTTCTTTTTCTTTTTTCTTTTTTTCTTTTAATAAAAAATAAAATAAAATAAAATTAGTATTTGTCTCCTCCTTTTGGTATGTGTGGTTTAGCTCTGTGTTTTATTATACTACTAGTTCAACAAATGAAAATGTTGTTTGTTTCAATTTTCCATGAGAGAGTTAGAGGTTAATCTTTATTTTATCCAATGATTTGCCTTGAGGTGCCATGGTAAGGCTCACATATTGCCTTCAACTGATACACCCACTCTGAGGTTGTCTCTCTCTCATCCACAAAACTAAAATTTTGTGCTTGTCAATTGATTAGTAGGATTGATACTTTGATAACATTTCTCTTTTAATGTTATTATTATTATCAACTTTGATAGAGCCCCCCTCAATCATCAACCCCACACACACGTGGGGGTTGGTGATTGGAGGAAGAGAAAAAAACAGAAAAAAAAGGAAAATCTGGCCAATCACAGGCCAAGGGGGGCATGGGGGTCACTATTTGGAGGGGGTCCGGAACATTTTTGTATTATTATTTCATCTGTTGGTTATCTTGTTTGTGTGTTGTCGTTGATGCATTTATGTGCATGACTCTTTTCAATACGTGAAAACTAATGGGATCCCCTTGTAATTTTAATCAGAATCTCCCGTTGAGGGAACTGCATGCACATTGTTCATGTTTTGAAATCCCAAGAGCCAAGATTCATATGAGGTCAGTGTTCCATGTCATGACTCTAAATTATTTCTCTTTTGAAAATAAATCTGTTCATTGGTATTTTTTTTTTTTTTTATAAAAAAAAAAGAAAAAGAAAATCTTAATAAAAGTGGTTTATGTATAATAACAGAGGGAACTGATCATAATTTTCAGTCACATTGATTTTTGTTAAACTTTTCTTTTCTGGGTACAGGAATTTATATAATCTTGGATCAATTATAAAATTCATTCAAGTTCGATGCTTCTATTATGGAAGTTTCAAGGCATCCCTTTTTCAGTGTCCAAATCCCTCCCTCTTCCCACCTCTATCTCTCGTGTCTGTGTTTCATAATGATGCAACAGAAGTAGTGAAAAAGGACTACATATCATTATGTTAGACAAGACTCTTGAATCTACAAGAGAAACGACTTTGAATCCACAAGAAAAATATGAGAACTCTTTGAAATATTACTATTGATTGATTCCATCCCAATGAAGGGTTACAACAGAAGTGGAATAATTAAAAGTTTGAGGACTAACACTTTGGGGACCAATTTTGTAACTAACCCTGAGCAAATACAGCAAATTTGAGTTTAGCTACAATTTTAAAGAAACATTTTTAACAAACCTAGTCCAAAACGGATGCTTTTAGACCAAGTAATTGAAAAAAAAAAAAAAGATTGAAAAAAAAAAAAAAGAAAAAAAAAAAAAGACTTTTCACAGAAGGCAAAAAAAAATGCAGGATTGACGCCCTAAATGATAGAATTCACCCGAAATCTGGCATATGTCATGGCAAAGTAGTGAGCTTTTTCCTTGGGCCATTTTCCGTCAACCCACCAAATTGATCTCCAAAGTGCCATGTGCCCAACATGAACACCACCTTCAAATTTTCCTTGGGCCATTTTCCGTCAACCCACCAAATTGATCTCCAAAGTGCCATGTGCCCAACATGAACACCACCTTCAAAGCGATCAAATCTAGAAATAAGCATTTTTGTACTTTTATAACTGAATTTGACCAATAGAGATCACCACCTGAGTGGTGGAAACAAACTAGCAGTTCTTTTGGCACAGGCTTGGAGATCTAGCAGGCTAATCATTGCTAGCTCACCACGCTTGATAGGTGGTTCCCTTGACTCTATTCTTTGGCCTTCTTAGCTACGTCAGCTTGTTGACGAACCATTCGGATCTCTGTAGATGATGTCTAGGCTTGCAACTTGAGTCCATGGATGAGATTCACATAAATATACACCTACATGGACTATGCTACATACAATTCAACTGAAAACTGGATTACAATTGAAAAAGTTTCCAAATTACATTGAATGAACTCTAGGTCCTAGCATTGGTCTTGCACAGCAGTTAATGGTATGCAATTTTTTTTTTTTTGGCCGGTCTGTATTGATATTTTCCTTTATAATTTTTTGGACTAGAGTAGTTGCTTCTTTACTTCTACAGACTGAAAGTACAAGTTCTCTAATGTGAGGCTCCTTTGAATTGATTCTTCTTCCAACACTCGTTGATGCCACTGGCACAACTTCCAGCCATTGCCAGTCTTCTGCAGTGCCAAAAAACATCTTAACCATATGTTCAATATTTCACCAGCTCCACCCCACCTTCACTTGTCTCCAATTACACCTGCACTTTTGGCACAACCATCCACATGATTTCCAACCCTAACACCTCCAATTGCATAAAGATTTATTCATTAAACCTGAAATTAGTTGTTTAAGCCAGTTGGTATATTTTGGGTCAGCTGAGGATATTGAAGCTTTCTATTGCTCTGAGTGTACGTGTACATATTTTGTGCCTTTTCTGTTCCTTGTAAAAAAATATTTTATTTGAAATGTCTAAAGTGCTGCAATATCACCAAGTTGGTCCAAACTTGAAGCTATTTAATCACCTTGATTAACCTATTGGTCAAATTTTAGATGACAGTCATTAGACCCATTTATTTTCTGGTACTGAATTTAAATTTTCTAGTGTAATGAATGTGAATAGTGTATTTTAATTATGCATAGTAAAGTTGGATGGATTTTCCCAGTTGTTCTTCAGGCCACATTTCTTCTTAGTCCACTATGATTTAGAGAAAAGACATGGCAAAATTAAACAATGAAAGTTTTATGTTTTCTCCTTTAATGCAGATGAGCCACATATCATCAGAAGGACCATGTGAATCTAGTAAAATGGATCTGGTTTCCAAGAGTACTACCAGTTCAACCCCTAACTGGCCAGATGATCCTAAAAAATTAGAGCAAATAGAAAAAAATAATGTCAATTTGACCCATAGTTTTCCATGTGGACCTGGATATATGGATCCAATTTCCAAAAATTATGCAAATCCAGAAAGTAATCAATACCCGTTGCCAAGTCCAAAGATGCCTGATGCAGATAGTAATCCCATTTCCAAATTGGACCTAGTTGCAAAGCCTTGTGTCTCTGCTACTAATCCATGCCTGTTGCCAAGTCCAAATGCGGTTGCAAATTCTGAACTCCTAACAGCAACATCAACAGGGATAGCAGCAACAATACCAGTTAACGCGAAGGCAAGTGATGCTAAAGGTAGTCAACCAGTCACCAATTTTGGACGAGGGAGTGGCAATAGCAACCGTAGTGACAGTTTAGAGAGCACCAGTGCACCCCTTAAGCCCCACACTGGTGGTGATGGGCGATGGGATGCCATTAACTTGGCTTCTTCCAAAGATTCCCCTCTTGGTCTTAGCCACTTTAGGCTCCTAAAGCGGCTTGGATATGGAGACATAGGAAGCGTCTATCTTGTTGAGCTCAGAGGAACCAATACCTTCTTTGCTATGAAAGTCATGGACAAGGGATCTCTTGCAA